GGTGACCAGCAGAAGACAGGATTTGTCGACATCGCAATAGTGGTGTCGTGGTCAGTGTTTGTTGAGACTTCTGTGCTTATATGGTGTGTTACCCAAGAGCATGTAACATTGAGCAACCACACAAGCTAAACACGGCACGTGCGACAGGTTGGAGGGAAATCACGTGAACGTTCCAGAACACAAGAGAGGTGAGTGCAAATTTGTGGTGTCGTGAAGAAGGGAGGTCAATGATGACTCAGCAGACAGGACTTGCCTGTCAACAGTAGTACTTCCAGCATACCTCACTCGCGTACTTTCCTCAAGTAGCGTTTCAACGGTACTGTGCTGGACTCAATTGTGACCTTTTTTCTTTCACCCAGTAGCACCGTATGCCGTAGCACTCATATGGGTGCAGGGTAGCTGAGTGTGCGTTGTAGCACTAGTGTCACTGTTTCGTTAACACAGGAGAAGATTCCTGACGCACAACAAAACACAACTGTAGAACACTCATGGTGATGGTGCTGTTGTTGGAGACTTGTGTGTGTGTGTGTGCTGTGTGTGCTGTGTGTTGTGTGGGAGATTGTCTTGGCAAGAGAGAGTTGTGTGTGTTTACTTGAGTTGTGAAGCAAACAAGGATGTAGGATGAATGAACACTCCAACAGAAAGAAACAGAGCAGAAGACAAGAATTGTCGACAACGCAAAGTGGTGACGTGGCAGTGTTTGTTGAGAGTTGTGTGGTTATATGGTGTGTTATGCAAGAGCATGTAACATCGAGCAACCACACAAGCTAAACACTGCACGTGCGACAGGTTGGAGGGAAATCACGTGAACGTTCCAGAACACAAGAGAGGTGAGTGCAAATTTGTGGTGTCGTGAAGAAGGGAGGTCAATGATGACTCAGCAGACAGGACTTGCCTGTCAACAGTAGTACTTCCAGCATACCTCACTGTCTTACCATAAAGCTGTCATGACAGACACCAGTGTTGTGGAAAGTATGTAAGCTCAGAATAACCACAAAGAAACATGTGTACCACAGAAGTCAAACATGCATGTCAGCTTACCTTCAAAGCCACTGGCAACGAAGCTGAACGTCCGATCGTGGCGAATCGCGACAAAAACGTTCATTGCATAGAACTTCTTGCGGCACATCCAAGCTGACGTTTCTTCTTCGGTCATCCCAATGTTTCGAAAAGGCACCAAGGTACCATCTGCTGTTGCAAGTTCATGGTGGTGGTGCTGTTGTTGGAGACTTGTGTGTGTGTGTGTGCTGTGTGTGCAGAGTGTGCTGTGTGTTGTGTGGGAGATTGTCTTGGCAAGAGGAAGTTGTGTGTGTTTACTTGAGTTGTGAAGCAAACAAGGATGTAGGATGAATGAACACTCCAACAGAAAGAAACAGAGCAGAAGACAAGAATTGTCGACAACGCAAAGTGGTGACGTGGCAGTGTTTGTTGAGAGTTGTGTGGTTATGTGGTGTGTTATGCAAGAGCATGTAACATCGAGCAACCACACAAGCTAAACACTGCACGTGCAACAGGTTGGAGGGAAATCACGTGAACATTCCAGAACACAAGAGAGGTGAATGCAAATTTGTGGTGTCGTGAAGAAGGGAGGTCAATGATGACTCAGCAGACAGGACTTGCCTGTCAACATCTGCAGCGCCAATGCAGCATGCGAAGTACGGGTCTTGGTCAGTCCAAGCGGCCAGTTCATTGGCAATATCTTCGGCCGTTTGCGGAAACGCAAACAGCGTCGCTGTTGACATCACGGTTCCAGTGTCAATGCTTGCTGAGTCAGCAAATTCTGCTGTAAACGTTTCTGTTCACGTGCGCCCAGAAACGGGCGTTTCTGGTTGTTTTGCCACGTGGCACTTCTCTCTCTCCTCCAGTTTTCTGTCTATGGGCGAATTCGAAGGCGAACCAAAGCTGGCCAAACTGATGCACTTTGTCACAAAACCATTCGAAGGAACCACTTTTGCAAACCAAACTGGTCGCCAAACTTTTGCGAAGGGTGAGGTTTTGGTGGGGCTGTGCAAAGCTGGGCAAACCGTGAGCGGGCTACCCGGCTGCCCGCCAAGAATGCTGACTCAGCAGCGTAAGCGAGCCGTGCTCGTGACGGTGTGGATGATGATGAGACAACGGCTGGCGATGTTGTGGTTGCTGTTGGTCGCTGGGGGCGAGGCCAAGCGGACAAGGATCCACAGCTCTCAAGGCGTGCAGCTCACCGTTCCAAACAGGTAACAGTACAAGGGGCAACAGCCGCGTGTACGCTTGCCTTTCTGTGATAGTGAACACTGGAGTTAGCGAGTGTAATCACTGTTCGTCACACTGTCACAGACGTTTTCAGGAGCATCTTCAGTTGCAGAACAGTGCGTTCAGACGCAAGTACTTCATGAGCAAGAAACAATTCAAGACACTGGTTCGGATGATTCGCCCATGGCTGCCTCAGCGCAAGCACAAGCAGGTGAGTCCGTGTGAGTGAGAGCGCGCGCGCGCGCGTGTGTGTGTGTGTTTGCAAGTGTGTGTGACTCCTGTTCGCTGTTTGGTTCAAATGTTCTGCTTATGCAAGTCATTGTTGATACGATTGCAGGTGGACATGAATGTGATTGTTGCTGCTGTTGTCAATCATCTTCAGGCGGGCAGCTCTTACTGGAGGTGCGCCGATCACTATGGTATCAGCACGTCATTACTGTGGGAATACGAAGAACACGTAAGTCATGTACTTGTGTGTTTCGGTTCTCAGCTTGGGTTGGTTGCAAGTCACTACAAGTACCGGTGAACGCTTAGTGTGAACAATGTGTCCTTGTTGTGCAGGTTCTCAGGGGCATAATTCGTGGCCTCTCACATCTTGTTCGCTTTCCTTCGACCCCAGAAGAGATTGCACGAGAGACAGAGTATTGGTCGGAGCACGATGAGTACTTTAAAGGGTGTATTGGAGCTGCCGATAGAACGCTGGTCACATTTCGACCTCGACGTATCCATGCATTCAATGCTCATGCGTGCGTGCGTGCGTGCGTGCGTGCGTGCGTGCGTGCGTGCGTGCGTGCGTGCGTGCGTGTGTGTGTCTGTCTGTCTGTGTATTTGTGTGCGTATGTGTGTCTGTGTATTTGTGTGCGTCTGTGTGTCTGTGTATTTGCGTGCGTGCGTGCGTGCGTGTGTGTGTGTGTGCGCGTCTGTGTGTGTCTGTGCGTGTGTGTCTGTGCGTGTGTGTCTGTGTGTCTGTGCCTCTGTGTGTGTATGTATTTGTGTGCGTCTGTGTGTGTGTGTGTGCGTCAGCAGTCGCTGACCTACCTCAGCAGTCGCTGACCTACCTCGCAAGCACAGTGTATGCTCACGTACTGCATGAACCTGTGCCTGCCTGCGTGCGTGTACGTTCGTGTTTGTGTGCGCGGGTATGTGTGTATGTGCATGTGTGGTCGTGAAACAGGTATCTCCGAGTCAAAGCGGAAAACGTGGTTCTGCAGAAAGGAAAAGCAGGCAATGAATGTATTGGTTAGTGTAAACCATGACCGCACTTTCCAGTATGTCAGCGCGGGATTTGAAGGTATGCATCATCTCTCGTATTGTTTTAACCTCCTTTGCCCGGTAGTCTGTCAACTAGACATCGTAGCTCCTTTCATCGTGTGTTACATGGATGTTGCAGGTGCTTGCCATGACTCCTTCATGATCACCAAAGTTGGGTTCGTCGACCGCATCCCTACTGGAACGTATGTCCTGTTTGATGCGGGCGGTCCGCTTGTGGAGCATCGCATCCTCGTTCCCTTCAAAGGTATGATAGATGGGTGTGCGTGCATGCATACGTGTGTGCGTGCGCATGGCTGTATGACGTATGTACGTGCATGTGTGTGTATGCTTCGTGTGCGTGCACGGTTGTATGATGCGTGTGGATATTCATTCACTTGTGTTGTGACTCCATTGGCCGTCCTGCATCGCAGCAACACGCTACCATGTCAGTGCCTTCACAGATAATCCACCACTCAATGCAAAGGAGGCATTTAACTGGAGACACTCCAGCAAACGCATGAGAGTGGAGCAGGCAATAGGCCACCTCAAGCAGCGTTTCCAGATACTAGCACAGGAGAAGCTGACATGCACGCCCGAACGGGCAGTCGACTTCGTGCTTGCAAGTGCTGCACTTCACAACTACATCGGGGCACCAGACGACACTGAAGTACCCCTCTACCAAGATGCTCCGATACCCACAAACCAAGCACCCACCCAACAAGCGATGCAGTGGCGCCAACACATTGCTGATGCTTGCTTTGAACAGTGGTGTTCATAAATATATTTATGAGTGAGAAGCCATCAATCGTAAAACGTGCTGCACACACAACAAACACAACACCACAGAACAGGCAGCAGCAAACCACAGCAACGACATCAGCATCAGCAAACCACAGCAACGACATCAGTATCAGCATCGCTGTCAACATCACCACTATCATCGTTACATCTGGCGGTGACTGAGTCGTCTTGACTATTGTTGTCACTGTCCTCCTCCTGTCCGGCGCGGCTGGTGGTGCGTGGGCTTTCGCGTGGGCCATCGTTCATCCCAGAGTCGGGCGCCTGTGTTGTTGGTGGTGCGGAGGTATGTTGTGCAGGAGGCGTTCCGCCCAGCACCTGTATCAGTGCAGCGAACTGCACTGATGTCTGGTGCATAAACTCCCTAAAGAGCTCAAGTTTTGGGTCTGGGCTAGCGGTCGATGCTGCAGGTCGAGGTTTCCTCCGTCTTCGTTGTTCGACTTCGTCACCGACCTCCCTTGCCTGTGAGCCTACAACACAAACGAGTGCATACAAGCGTACGCGTGTGAGCGCGTGAGCTTCGTGTACAAGAAAGTGTGCATGTGAGAGGCCCATGTGAATACCTGTGGGTACGGCGTCGTTGAGGATCTGATGGAGAAGCAGGAACTTCTCCTCTCCAAGTTCGTCTAGCTTCTGGGCGCTCTTCTGCAGTACGTGCTTTCGTGGCTCCTCATCGAATTCAGGCCATTGCAATAGCCTTTCCTGCACGAGATACATGCAAACAACGAAGGTGACACTCACGCGCACGCTCAGTCACACACACACACATACACACAGCCAGACATACACTCGCATACACACACAGTTAGTTCGACACGCGCACACGCACACACACACACGCACATGCACATACGCACATACACACACACGCACGCGCACGCACACACACGTACACACGCACATACACACACGCGCGCTCACGCACACACACGTACACACGCACATACACACACGCGCGCTCACGCACACACACGTACACACGCACATACACACACACGCGCGCATGCACACACACGTACACACGCACATACACACACACAAACACACGCACATACACACACACACATACACACACATACACACACACAAACACACAGACGCACAGACGCACAAACACACACGCACACGCACGATTCAATTGCCATGCAAGAAGACACCCTTACCTCGTATCCATCCCCTTGCAGATTGCCAAGGCCCGATTTCTTGGTGAAGAAGGTGTGCGCGTCTGTTGCGTGCCTGTACAAATCTTGCATTTCTCGAAATTGCCGATGTGCACGCGTCCCCAGGCCACTGTTCGCAAGCCTCTTCATCTTCGACTTTGCGCCAACTCTCTTCTTCATCATCTCTCCCACCCTCTTCCACGTTGCATCATCACCCTTTCGAATGTCGTCCACGGTTGCAAGACCGGTGGACATCAGATCTTGCACGCACGTCAACAACAACACTCGCGTCTCGTCCGTCCACCGAATGTTGACACGGCCTGCATCCTTTCCATCCTGTTTTGGTGTCGACGTCAAGGAAGAAGCGGGCGAGGTCACTGGGGGCGAAACAGGCGATGTTGTCAGCACCGAGTGATGTGCTGCCACTGGCGTTGTTGTCTGTGCAGGGGGTGGGTGAGGGTGGAGAACAGTTGCCGCAGGGATTGATGCTGCAGAAACCGAGGCCACAGACGGTGAAGTTTCAGGGGCAGTTGCAGTTGATGCTGTCGGGGCCGAGCTCACGGGCGACGACGTTGCAGGAGCAGTCACGCATGACGTTGACGCTGAAGACGTGGAGTAGAGTGCTTCCTGCGCAAGCATTGCAGCGATGGACACGGGCTCGTGCACAGGTTCGTGTAAAGCCATATGCGGTCGCTTGGCAGGAGGCACTTGCGATCCGCCAGGCGTGCACTCCTCGCAGAACAGTAGAGGGCCGCGGCGAGTATCGCGCGAAGACACTGCACACCCCATGTGAAGAGGACGACGACAAGCACACCAGCTTTGGCATGTCTGCGCGCACACCACGCACACGCTGTCCTCGCTTGTCACCATCGCCATCTCCGCTGTCTCACGTGCGTGCACTTTTTATGATGTCTTAACGAGAAGATCGACCCTACGGGCGAATCAACCGCCCAGCTGTCATGAGGGGGTATTCGAGTAGCCCGCTCAAGTGCAAATTCGAAGGAAGCCAAACCCCTGTTTTGCGTGCAAATGCAGAGCGTGCCTCATTCTGGTTCGCCTTCGAATTCGCCCTATGTGTGAGAGTGTCTCCCAGTTCATGTTCATTCATGCTACATCCTTGTTTGCTTCACAACTCAAGTAAACACACACAACTCTCTCCTGCCAAGACAATCTCCTACACAGCACACACAGCACACACAGCACACACACACACACACAAGTCTCCAACAACAGCACCACCACCATGAACTTGCAACAATCAGACCACGGATGCCACGAAGGGCACGGACATGGACGTTGCCTCCCCATCACCGACTGCACCTGATCGTGCTCTTCACACTGCCTCTTGTCTCGTCTTCGTGTGTCGTCTGTGTCGTCTGTGTCGGTCTGTCTCTCCTCTCTCTCTCTGTCTCTCTGTCTCTCTGTCTCTCTGTCTCTCTGTCTCTCTGTCTCTCTCTCTCTCTGTCTCTCTCTGACTCTCTCTGTGTCTCTGTGTCTGTGTCTCTGTGGCGGCTTTTTGTGCCAACAAAAATTCGACTGCTGTCTACAAACAGTACAAACTACTAAAAATAGCCCCAGCATTTTTCTTCCCCTGATTTTCCTTTCGTTTCTGTGCACGTGTGTTCTTCGCCCATTTTTTTTTCGCTCACAGCAACAGACAGCATGTGCAGTGGATGAAGCGATCAAGCACGGCTGCCATGACGGCCAGGATCACCCATGATGGCATGCCGCGGCGACAGCGACGCTGCTCGACGTACCATCACGAACGAGGTACGCTTGCGTGTGCTTGTGCGTGCGTGTGCGTGTGCGTGTGCGTGCGCGTGTGTGTGTGTACTTGCATGTGCATATGTGCATGCGTGCACGCATGGCAGCTTTGCTGCTTCCTTTTCTCTTCTACTTGCCAGCACATGATTTGTTCTCCCGTGTCCTCTTCCACATTTGCCCTCCCTTTTCCCTTCTTTCACCTTTTCTCATGCAAGTGTGTCAAATTGCTTTCCGCCTTCAACGTTCTCGTGTGGCGGCAAGCGTCCAAAGCTTGCAACACCAATTCCTCTTGTTGCTTGTGGTCTCGCCTTTGCTCTTGTGGTGGTGGCGTGTGTTGCGCATGCACACACATCCGCTCTCGTGCCAACAAGAGCGCTTGCGCGTTGGCTGCATGCATACATCCCCTACCACGTGGCAATCATGTGTCGTGTTGTTTTGATGTGGTTGGTGTTTGCGTGTTGTTCCTCCGCGTGTCACTCACCCTTCCTTGATATGTTTGTATGTGTATTGTATGTGTGCATGTGTGTATATTGTGTGTGCGCGCATGTGTGTGTGTGTGTGAATGTGTATTTGTGTGTGTATGTGTGTGTGAATGTGTATTTGTGTGTGTGCGTGTTGAATTGGCAACAGTTACCATGCAGGCGTGATATGATGGCTGAACTGGGACAGGGGCATCTTGACTGCTGACCAGCGGCCAGCGTCTCATATGCAGCGAATCAAGCTCACCATGTCCATGGATGGTAAGTGTGCGTGTGGTTGTGTTTGTGTTTGTGGGTGTGGTTGTGTTTGTGTGTTTGACTGTTTGTACCCAGCTCGGCTCTGTGTTACCTTCCTCTTTGCCTTTCCCCATCTGCCACGCTTTCTCCCTCCCCCTTCCCCCTTTTGTCATTTCGCGTCCTTTCTTGTCCACTTTCCCCCTCTCCCACTGTGTTGGACCCAAAGCGAGTATGCCATGCTCTCCGCCTTGAACGTTTACGTGTGGCGGCGAGTGTCCAAAGCTTGCGAGATCAAAAACCATCGTGTTTCCGTGCTTGCAGTCCTGCGTGTTTGTGTTCTTCTCGTCCTCCAGTGAGGCTGAGAGAGGGTGTGCGTTAGTTTTCCACCACACACTCTCTTGGGTTTGGGAAGAACACAACCAATCTTTGAGCACGCTGGCTGTCTGCACACACCACCTCTTTGTTGTCCCTCTTTTCACTCTCCACACGTGTGTGTATGTGCATGTTAGCATTGTGTGCATGTTAGCATTGTGTGCATGTTAGCATTGTGTTTCTTTTGTCTTTGTTGACATTGCGTGTTTGCACTCATGCCCCATGGGATTGTCTGTCATGTTGATCAACTCGTTGGCACATGCACGCAATGCATGTTCTCTCTCCTGTTGCATCTGTTGCAGGGCCTGCTTTCCGCTTCCTGTGCTGTGGAGAGCGCCATCACACGGAGCGGGCGTCTCGTTGGCCGGGCTCACGGTGGACACAAGACAAGCAAGGCGGCGGCGGCTGCTGTTGTTTGTTTGTTTGTTTGTTTGTTTGGCAGTTCGTGTTGGACTTGCTTGCCGGTGCGTGTGCACGAATGAGCTCTGGCTGGCTGGTGAAAGGAAGAAGTTCAGTAAATGTGTATGCATGCAACGGGTACAAGTGACAGGTTGCGAGTGGTGCCAGGGTGGTGCAAGCTCAATGCTGCTGTTGCTGTCTGTTGGTCACGGATGGTGCAACAACACACAAACAAGAAGAATGCGCACACAAGCAGAAGGCCGCGCCACAGACAGGTGGGAAAGGAGGAAACAGGGAAGTGTGCGTGAGAAACGACAAGAGGTGGACAGATTCACAATGAACCAAAGCGCAGACATTCATCCTCCCCCCTCACAACAACACGCAACAGCTTGTGTTGCCGCCTTGGTTCTGGCTGCCACTTGATGTTGCCGCGGTCTCTTGCGCAGCACTGCCTGGCCCGTGCACTGGCGTTTCATGGGTGGTTTGTGCGTTGTTGACGCCGCGCTCTTCTCGTTGCTCGTTGCGCGACGAGTTCTCGGTCGCCATGCTATTATCACCATCACGTTGTTGGTGCTGCTGCTGCTGCTGCTGCTGCTGCTGCTGCTGCTGCTGTTGTTGTTGTTGTTGTTGTTGTTGTTGTTGTTGTTGTTGTTGTTGTTGGTGCTGCTGTTGGTGCTGTTGGTGCTGCTGCTGCTGCTGCTGCTGCTGCTGCTGCTGTTGTTGTTGTTGTTGTTGTTGTTGTTGTTGTTGTTGTTGTTGTTGTTGTCGTTCTTCTTCTTTTTCGTCTTCAATTTCAGCGTCAACTTGTTTCTTGCCCTCTTGTTCCTCATGTTCTTGTTCTTGGTGTGCTGCAGCTGCAGCGGGGTTGCTGTCGCTGTTCTGTTCCGTTTGTGGTTGCTCTGCTTCTGCCTGCTGTTCGTTCTCGTCCGTGCCCTTGTCCTCGGAAGCCAGTGCTGCCTCTTCAGCAGCGTGCACCGGCAGACCCTCCTGCTCTTTCTTGTCGCCCTGCAGTGCCACCGCATGCGCCTGCGTGAGCTGCAGCAGCAGCTGATGTGTGTGCAGCGTGCGCGGGTGTGTGGGGCCGAGCACGGCGATGAAGACGCTGAGGCCCTGCCTGATGTGCTTGGCAGCCTGCTCGTGCTCGCCGGCCTGATGGAATGCGAGCCCGAGGTTGCACAGCGTATCTGCGGTTGCCGGGTGGTGCGGCCCCAGCAGCGCCACCTTGACCTCCAGCGCGCGCTTGTTCAGCTCGAGGGCCTTTGCTGCGTCGCCCTTCTCCAGGTACACGTTGGCCAGGTTGCCGATGGTGTTGGCTGTTGTTGGATGCCGTTCGCCGAGGGTGGCGGCCATGATGTCCAGGGCGCGCGTGTAGCACTTCACCGCCTCATCGTGCTGCCCGAGTGCGCGGTGCGCCATGCCCATGTTGGTCAGGGTGGCGGCCGTTGACGGGTGCTGCTCGCCAACCGCAGCCAGCATCGCCTTCAGTGCCTTCTCGAACAGCGGCAGCGCAGTGGCAGCCTGCTTCTTCTGCGTGTACGCCAGGCCGATGTTGTTGTAGGTGGAGGCCGTCTGCTCGTGGTCCTCTCCGTATGTTGCCAGCATGACCCGCAGTTCTGTGTTGAGGAGGTCGATTGCCTTGTCGTGCTCGCCCTTTGCGTTGTACGCGGTGGCGAGGTTGCCGTACGTCTGCGCCGTCGTTGGGTGGTTCTCCCCCAGCGTCTGCTTGTAGATGTCGAGCCCCTGCGTGTACAGGGCGATGGCGCGGTCCTGGTCGCCCTTGTCCCCAAACGCGTTTGCCAGGTTGCAGTATGCGAGCGCGGTAGTCTGGTGCTGCTCTCCGAGCGCGGGCAGCGTGATTTCGAGCGCCTTGCTGAAGAGCGCGATGGCCTTGTTCGCGTCGCCCATGCGCTGGTGGACCATCCCCAGGTTGCTGTACGTCATGCCCGTGTCTGGGTGCTGCTCGCCGAGGGTTGCCTGCCTCAGCTCCAGGGCGCGCGTGTGGTGGTGGATGGCGCGGTCAAAGGCGCCCCTGTCTGCCAGCACCAGGCCCAGCTGGCCGTGCGCTGCCGCCGTGAGCTTGTGCTCGTTGCCGAGGACGGCCTCGAAGATGGCGCGGGCCTTGTCGTAGAAGAGGATGGCCTGGTCCATGGCGCCGAACCGGTGCAGCACCGCCCCGGCCTGGAAGCACAAGCGGCCAAACTCCTCCGTGTCCTCCTTGCCCTGCTGGCTCATCTCCTGCACAAACGCCATGACGGCTTGCAGGCACCAGGCGCGCATCTGGTCCTTGACGGTTTCGTTGAGCTTTGGGAACCCCACCGAGGCCTCGATGGCCCTGAAGATCATTTCCTTGTCCTTTGGGTTCCAGGCCTCGGCGCGCTCTGCCTGCACGCGGACGAGGGTGTTGAGGACGGCGTCGTAGTCGTCCAGGATGGCCTGTTTCAGCTCGGGCTTCTGGGCCGCCGGCAGCTGGATGGTGAGCTGGACGTTGTCTTGGCTGATGCTGCAGAAGATTTCCCACAGGCACCAGGCGCGTGTCAGCGGGATGGGGTCGCTCCAGGGAGTCAGCACCAGCAGCACGTGCCCAATGGATGCAATCGACTCCTTGAACGTCGTGCTCCACCTGAGGGAGGTGCGGTTGTTTGCGTGTACGTTCGTATGTATGTATGTATGTATGTATGTATGTATGTATGTATGTATGTTGCGTGTGTGTGTGTGTGGTTGCGTGTGTGTGTGAATTAGTGCGAGAGAGAGAGTGTGTGTGTGTGAATGAGAGAGGGAGAGTGTGTGTGCGGTTGTGTGTGCGAGTGCGATTGTGTTTGCGGTTGTGTGTGCGAGTGGGAGTGCGATTGTTGATTGTGTCAGCAGTAGTTGAGAGGAGGAGGAGGAGGAGGAGGAGGAGGAGGAGGAGGAAAAGAGAGCATGGTGGTGGGTGGATGACATTACACAGGCGCAGACACACACAGACACAGAGACGCAGACGCACGCGCACAGACGCAGACGCACGCACACAACAACAACAACAACAACAACAACAACAACAACAACAACAACAACAACAACAACAACAACAACGACAACAACAACAACAACAACAACAACAACAACAACAACAACAACAACAACAACAACAACAACAACAACAACAACAACAACAGCGATGCACACACACACACAGCCAACTTGTGCACACTCACCACTCTTGTGGAAGGTCAGCGGCAATGTTTTGGTTGTTGATGAAGAGGTCAAACCAAAAGTAAGTCTCGGCTGGTTCGTCCTTGCCTTGGGCCTGCTGCTGCTTCTGTCGTGCCTGGGCGAATTCCAGCATGGTGCCCACGACGTCCTCGAGCTTGTAGCGCCAGGCATGGGAGACGAACACGTTGGCTGGGCCCACGTCTTGCGGGTGTTCCTTCTTGATGAGGTCCAGGTAGGCGCATTGCGACGCCTTGGTGCGTGGAATCACCACTTTGGTGCACACGTCTGTTGTTGTCAGTGTTCCGTGGTCCTCTGGGAACGTCTCCTTGATGTCCTCCAAGAACCGTCGAAGAAACTGTGTGGACACACCCACACTGCGGTCCATGTTCGTTGTTTGTGCGAGTGTGTTTGTGTGTAATGTGTGCACTGATGTTTGTGGGTGTGTGTGGGTGTGTGGGTGTGGCTGCAGAGGCTTCACGCGCTTGCTTGCTGCTTGCTGCGATCAATCTGCGTGGGCTGCTGTGTTTCACTGCCTGCTGCTCAGTCGGTGCGGAGACGAGCGCTCGTTTTGCTCTTCTTCGTTCGTTTCGCTGACTCAGCACAGCCATTGTTGGCTGCAACTGCGGTTTGTGCTGTTCGGCGCGCGCTTGGATTGAAAAAACTGGCGCGCCCATTGTGCTGTGGATTCTGTGCATATCATAGCGAATCCTCTGACTGATTGCCACAACAACGGTCAACCAAAAAAAAAAAAAACTCGCTTGCGCAGCGAAACAAAGCACCACAACGCACAATCGTCCACTGTTTTGCTTGCTTGCTTGCTTGCTTGCAGGCATTCAGTGAACACACGCACGCCCCACCTCACACAAGCAAGCAGAGAGAGAGAAAAAAAAAAACTCGCGTGCCTGTGTCTGTGTGTTTGTGTGTGTGGTGCAAGAAAGAAGCAGGGACCAGTCAAGCCTTTTTGGATGCACGCACGCACGCTCGCTCGCTCGCACACGCCACCGTTTCCACTCTCACTCTCAAACCACTTCGCTCCCCTCAACACCCATCTCGCTGGTGAGTGAGTCTTGTGTTTGGCCTGTGCGATGCTGTGACCAGAGCGAGCGGGCTGCTTGCGTTGCATCGCTGGCTGGCCTGGCCGGCGGGCTGGCTGGCTGCCTTGCTGGTCATGCCTGTCTTGCTTGTCTTGCTTGTCTACGTTGGTGCTGCGGCCGTGCCACCACCACCACCACCACCACCTTCCTTCCTTCCTTCCCTCGCTTTTGTTCCTTCCCACACTTTGTTCCTTCCACTGCCACTGCATTACCCATCACCCACCCGTACACACACACACACACACACGCACACCAAGTTTTGCTGCACTTGAAACAAACCAACAAACCCGACCGCACCCCACCTCCTTTTGTCGCGTGTGTGTCACTGAACGCGAAACACCAGCACCACCACCACCACCATCCATTGTATGCGCGCACCCACACCCACACACACACACACGCACCATTCATTGTCACGCCCTCGACACTGCTTGCTGTTTGCTCTGCGGCCTCGAATCAAAAGCCGCCTGCCTGCCTCTGTCCTTCCTCCTCATTCCCTCTCACACAGTGCCGCACCCACACGCACACACACACACACACACACACACACACTCGATCCCATCCGTCCATTCATTGTGCGCGTCCTCCTCCTTCTTCTCCTTCTCCTTCTCCACCCTTGCTCCTCAATTTCATTTGCACTCCGCACGCCGACACGCCATAACCCCGACATCCCGCCTGTCTGTAGCTGCATTCTCGCAGAGTAGTGCGCAGTAGCTTGGTTGTTTATTTGTTCATTCACCTGTTCCTTCCTTCCTTCCTTTCTTGCTTCCTACCAGCCTTCAACCAGGTGAGGTCCTTGCTTGTGCTACTCCCCCCCCCCTCACACACACACACACACACACACACACACACACACACACACACACACCACACACACCACAACCTGTCACACCCGTCCTCCTTGCGTGTCCTCTCCACCCTTTGCCGTGCGTGCGTGCACGCATGCACGCATTCACCCACCTTCTTCTTCTTCTTCTCCTCTCTCTCTGTCTCTGTCGGCCATCGATCGACAACAGATCGCATACACATCCCACCTCTTGCCACTCTCTTTATCCATTGCCATCCATCCACACCACACCCGCCACGCCAATTGTTGCTGTGCATTGGGCCAGTCCCTCTTCCTTTCGCTTGTTCGTCTTGTCTCTTGCCTTCTACGTGCGCGCACGCACGCACTTGAGCCAGTTTCTTGTCCATTCACACCACAAACTTGTCACACGCGCGAGCTTGTTCCACCATCACCTTCGGGTTTCCTCAAGCCGTCTTCCTTTGGCCCAGCATCAGCACCCAATATCACCAACTCACCGCTCGTACCTTCCCATCCCCTTGCACAACGTCATATCATCCCACGACACACAGCCCCGCGTTTGTTGTCGTTCCTTGCCCCTTGCCTTCTTTCAGCCGTTCCACATCACCGCCATGGCACGGTCAGCGCCGCTTCTGCTGGCCGTTGTGGCCCTGATGGTTGGCTCCATCTCGGCTCAGGTCTCAAACCCAAGCTTCGAAAGCCCAGACGTTGTACAAGGTGCGCTCGTGTTGTCGTGGCACCCATGTCTTGCTGCTTTGTTACCTCCTTGCCTCTTGCTGAACAACATTCATGCGTGCATGCTCGCATGTGTTGCACACATCATAATGCCAGCATAACCTCGCTTCGGTTCTCATCTCGTCATCTCTCCCTGTCCCTCCTTTCTATGGCTGTGCATGTGTGTGTGTGTGTGTTTGTGTGTCCTATCCACTTTTTCTCTGCCTCTTGTCTTGGTTGTTGGAACGATGACTTGCCCAATGCAATATTACAGGCGATGGCACCACCCCTGCTGCTGACTGGACTGGTGGCGTCACCATTCAGTGAGTTTTGCCACATTTGTCGTGTGCAAAGCGTACTCAACTTGCCAGTGCCCTCTCAACACGGCAACCAGCCGGTTTTAGTTTGCAACTGTCTGTCTCCGCGTTTCCTCCCTCCCTCCCTCTCCCTCCCTCTCTCTTGCTCACAACAACGCCGCCCGCAACACCACTACCACCCACTTCTTCTTTCCCCCATCCTCCTCCCTTCACATACACACACACACACACACACACACACACACACACACGCACACGCACGCACGCATACGCACGCACCCTCTCCACCTCCTCTCTCAAAACCCACACAGGCCCGGCGTGGGCACGTTCCAGAACCAGCACCAATCCCAGGTGCTTCGTCTCGAGTCCGGCACCTCCAGCTTCCAAGACATCGCCCTGGTGCGTCGCACCCGCCTGCTTGGTGCCCTGTTGTCGAGTCGTCCATCCCCAGCGCATGCGCCTGCTTCTGCTTGCGTTCGTGTCTGTAGATCGTGCACACACTGCCGCTGCCATGGTCTTGATCTCTGTTCACCGGTGTCTTGGCGTCTGCTCCTTGCATGCATGCATCCATTTTGCAGGTTTACGAGACAGACACCGTGTACATGCTGACCGTCTCTGTGGCTCGTGCGGTGCGTTGACCTACACACACACGCAATTGCCCACACGTGCTTCCGTGCATGTCTGGCATCGAGCATGGCTTTCCCCCTGGCCCATACCCTATTACCGCCTTCCTTTCAGTTGCATCGAGTGCACGCGCTCACTTTGATCCACGTTCCCATCATTACCATCACCCCCACCCCCGCTTTTGTCCCATGTGTAGGGCGCCTTCCCTGGCGCCACGTTGTCGCTGCAAACCTCCAATGGCGACACTGTGTCCTCCGAGTCCATCATCGAGGCGCAGCTGAACAACGCAGAGTTCATCGACTTCAGCACCCAGGCGGTACGTTGTGTTGTGTTGTGGGGCTGGTGGCACGCTGTTGTTGTGAGTGGGCACACAAACCATCTGCAGATGGGCAGACGGCTGTAGAGCATTTGATGACTGCATGATGCCCTCCCGTCTCGGTGCTCATGATCCATTTCCACTCTCCCTCTATTACCTGCCGCCGTGTGTTTTGTTTTCTCCATCAGATGCTGGACGCTACGCAAGTCGACCTCATTGGCCAAGTTGCCCGCGTCCGTTTCGGTGCGTTGACTGTCAATGGAAGTGGGAGGCAGGAAACGTTAAGCCTTGAGCGTCTCGTGCATGTACAAGGCCCGCAGCGCATCCTCACTTGCCTGAACTTTCACCTTTTAACCCTGTACTTCAACACGCACACACCCACACACACACACACACACCCACACACACACACACACACACACACACACACACACGCACACGCACACGCGCACGTGCACCACAGACTGCGCTGCGGCTGCCAGCACAGAGTACTGCTACTTTGACCTGGTGCGCGTTGTCTCCTTCATCCCAGACTCTACCTTCGAGCCATCTACAGCTGACAGTAAGTTCCAACAAGCGACCGATGTCCCTCGCTCCAGCAGCAATGTCACCCCCCCCCCCCCACACGCGCACCCTCACGCACTCTTACACTCTCACATACACATACCCTTTGCGCCTCGCTTCCTGCCTCGCCTGTTATCTTGCTTCTCCGTTACCTTCCTTGCCTACCTCACCCTCACCCGATTCTCGAATCCCCCCCCCCCCGGGCTCAACAGCCACCATGGAGATGGGCACGACGGAGGGTCTGCTTGAGACAACCAGGGATACGTCCACGTCCACGTCCACATCCACATCGACGTCTTCGTCAACCTCCAGCAGCACGAGCACCACGTCGTCCACGTCTTCATCCACCTCCTCATCCACCTCCACCACCACCTCCACATCCTCCTCAACCTCCTCATCCACCTCCTCTTCGACCTCAACCACCACTTCGACCTCCTCGTCCACCTCATCATCCACGTCCACGTCCACGTCCACCACCTCCTCCACTTCCTCCTCCACCTCATCCTCCACCTCCACGTCGACCTCGTCCTCGTCCTCCACCACCACCTCCACGTCCACCTCTTCCTCGCACGTGACGGACGTCTAATAGACGTGCGGGATGCCGTCTCATGGGTCGACTGCAAAGGGAAGATTCCTTAATATCGGGCGTAACACCGTATTGTGGATCTACGAATGTGTCCTGGTTAGGACCGAAAATCATTGTTGGGACACCGAACAGTATAGTATAAAATTGTTACCAGCGTTGAAGGTGGAACATCAACATATGAAACGCTGCCGCTACCGCCACCCGCTGATCTTCTATATCCATTTAAAGCGGGTAAATGAGTTCAGGATCCAGCTCCTGTAAGTTGTTCGTTCTAGCGGAATCGAATCACCACTTACTTGCTCGGCATAGTCCTCCTCGTCTTCCTCGTCCACATCAACCAGCACTTCTTCCTCTTCCTCCACTTCGACGTCCACGTCCTCATCGTCCTCCACATCCACATCCACGTCGTCTTCTTCATCAACCTCCACCTCCACTTCATCCTCCACCTCGTCGTCCACCACCTCGTCCACCTCCACCTCCACGTCTTCCTCCTCCTCCACATCCACATCCACGTCCACATCGTCTTCCTCCTCAACGTCCACTTCAACCTCCACCTCCACTTCAACCTCAACCTCCTCTTCATCCTCTACCTCCACTTCCACCTCCACCTCCACCTCATCCTCGTCCACCACCACCACGACACCTGTCACCGTGTACCCGCTCAACAACCCCTCCTTCGAGGTGGACACGGTCGATGCCGGTGCCTTCACCACGTCGGCCACAGGCTGGTCCATCAACGGCCGTGCTGGCACCTTCCGCCCAACCCCATCCATCTTCCCTCTGGTGCGTCACCCCAGGCGTTCATGTCAATGTTTTTTGCTGTTGCTGCTATTGCTGCTGCTATTGCTGCTGTACTTGCTGCATTTGCGCTCGTGTGTAGTTGCTTGGGGCTTGGCTGCACTGCTTGCACGTCTCGTTAAGGGTCCGTTTCCTTCGCAGTCTCTGTTGTTGCCCCATCTGTCACCGTCTTGTCGTTTTTCTGCACTCGGTTTATTCATCCTTCTCACCAACCGACTGCACATCGCGTGTCATGCCCACCCACCTCATCAACCTTCTTCTGCTGGCAGCCTCTCGCGTCCCCCGCGGACCAGGAGCAGCTGTTCTGGATGCGCGGTGGCGCTGCGGCCTGGCAGGTTGTTCCCGACCTCACCATCTCCTCAGACACGGCCTACTATGTCACCCTTGCTGTTGGCGCTCGCCTCGACTTCCCCTTCCCCGAGAGCTTTGGCGTTGCCCTGACAAACGGCTTTGGCAACGAAACCATTGTCTGGAGCCACTACAACGCTTCCAGCCTCGGCCTCACCCCAGGCGGCTTTGTCCCCATCACACTCTGGTTCACCACCGCCGAGAACGCCTTCAGCGAGTTTTACGGCGAGCAGATGCAGGTGTGTCAGTCAAACCATATGGCTGGATGAATGTATGACGTTGTGTGTGCGTGTTTGCGTGTGCGTGTGTGTGTGTGTGCATGCGTGCGTCTGAGCACAGGTGTGTATGCCCTTATGTGTGCGTGCGTGTATTCCCTTACATGTGCGTGCGTGTGCACGCCCTTATTCGTGTGTGTTCAAGTAAGTGCGCGCGTGTCCCAATGCGCCTGCTCCATCTCTCCATCTCCTGCTTGTTCACAGTGCTGTTCCTCTCACAACCCTCGTCCGCCCTCCCTGGCACTCTTTTCGTCACCCGCTTTTGCCCCCCCCCCGGCGCCTCCCTTGGCAGATTCGCTTCTGGTCCAACGGTGAAGCCCGCTCCCAGGTCATCTTCGACAACTTTGCTGCCACCAGCGTGGTGGACATTGTCACCACCACGACGGAGGCCCCCATGGACCTTGCTGTCTTCAACCCGAGCTTCGAGCGCGACGACCTCATGAGCCGTGGCGTGGAGTGGATCGACTCTGCCCGCGGCTGGGAGGTCACTGGCCCCGCTGGCACCTTCCGCCCCGACGCCACCCACTTCAACCTCATTGAGAACAACACCGTGCTGCCACCGCCGGCCCGGGGCGCACAGGCCCTCTTTGTCCGCCCCATCAACGGCCGCGCCAGCCAGATTCTGCGCATGGCCCCGCTCGAGCGCGACGGCGTGTACGAGGTCTGCTACTCCGTGGGCAAGCGCCTCGACAAGGCCTTCCCCACCGCTGCTGTCGGCCAGCTGCGCACCTGGCCCAACGGCCAGCTGCTCGCCAGCGCCATCACCTTCCAGTCTGACGTCACCAGCGGCCAGTTTGTCCGCGAGTGCCTCGTGTACCGCGGCTCGGACGCGAACGCCACCGCGGACGGCCAGCTGCTGCAGCTCGTCTTCTTCGTCCAGGGCACAGACCACCTCGCCCAGGCCGTGTTTGACAACGTCGAGGCCAGCACCCAGTTTGTGGACCAGGTGGACTTCACCACCTTTGAGCCCACGACGGAGGAGGTCACCATGCCGCCCTTCGTGCCGGACTGCGCCAGGGAGTGCACGCCGCGCATCGCCACCCCGCTCGAGCAGTACGACCTCGGCTGGGAGGGCCTGACCGACGGCACCACCGCAGACCTGACCGACAACGGCCACCTCGAGGGCATCGTCGTGGCGCGCACGGCCGGCATTGTTGGTGTCTTTGGCTTTGACGACAACGGCACCCTGGTGCAGGAGGTGGTGGACGACACGCTCAACGAGCCCCGCCACGTGGAGGCTGCCGACATCAACCGCGACGGCAGGCCCGACTTTGTGGTCACCTCCAGCAACAGCGACGAGGTCATCGTGTACGTGAACGAGGGCGCAGCGGTGCCGGGCGCCATGCCCAACATCACCAAGCACGTGCTCGGCGTCACCATCGACGACCCGCGCGGCTTTGCCCTCGCCGACGTCGACAACGACCGCGACCTGGACATCATCGTCACCTCGCAGAGCACCGGCACGGTGAACATCCTGTACAACGACTGCTGCCGCCCCCGCCGCCCCTGTGGCGTGTGCGGCCCCATCACGTGGTCCCTCGAGGTCATCACGGGCGTTGCGGGCGCCCGCTCCGTTGTCGCCGCAAACGTCGACGACGACAGCTGGCTCGAGCTCGTTGTCGGCGGCGCCTCCGTCTCCGTTATCGACCGCGTGGACGACACCTGGATGGTGCGTGCCGTGAACGAGGGCACCGCCACCAACTTCATCTCCGTCGCCGCTGCAGACGTCAACCACGACGGCCTCACGGACGTGGTTGCCGTGTCCCTGTCCAACAACGCCGCGTACGCCTGGCTCAACGCCGGCAGCGGCACCTTTGGCGTCGGCCTCATCCTGTCCAACCAGCTCATGGGCGCATACGACGTGAAGCTCTCCGACATCAACCTCGACGGCTTTGTGGACATTGTTGTGGCCTCGCGCCAGGACAGCTCCATCTCCGTGTTCTACACGCGGCCGGGCGTGATTGAGAACCGCGTCGTGCTCTCCAGCGCCGTGGATACGGTGCACAGCGTCATCGTGCGCGACCTCGACTTTGACGGCGACATTGACGTTGCAGGCATCTCCTTCACCACCAACAGCGTGTACTACCTGCAGAACCTGTGCTGCAACGACCTGCCCCCGACCACCGCCGAGCCAACCACCCGCCCGCCGCGCTTCGTCGTGGCCAACCCGTCCTTTGAGGCAGACTCGCTGGCCAACTCGGCCACCTCCTTCGTCACCCGCGCCACGGGCTGGAGGGTCACGGGCACCGCGGGAACGTACCGTCCCGAAATTGCCGCCCTGCCCCGCGAAGGCAGCGCGCTCGCCCCGCCCTTGGACCGGCAGCAGGTCGCCTTCCTTCGCGCGGGCTCCGTCATCCAGCAGACGCTCGGCAACGCGCGCATTGTGGCCAACGGCTTTGTGGGCGTGTGGGTGGCCGTGGCCTGGCGCCAGGACCGCTTCTTCGCCTTCCCCAACGTCACCATCTCCCTCGTGTCCTCGGAGTCCGGGTATGAGCTTGCCAGCACGCTGGTGACGGCGGACCACCTGGACAACACCCCCGGCACCATCTACCCGGCGCACGTGTGGTTTATGACGGGCTTTGGGCACGAGGCCAACGGGGAGTCGCTCACCATCCGCATCAGCGCCACGGGCCCCTCCAACTCGCAGGCCGCTGTGGACAACGTCTCCGTTGACTTTGACCGGCCCGAGACAACGCCCATGGCCACGACCACCGTGGAGACGACGCAGGCCGCAACGACGGTTGAGGCCACAACGGAGGACATGGCCACCACGGAGGACGTGCTCATCACCACCACGGAGGAGCCCGAGACCACGACGGCCACCACCACCACCACCACGACGGAGGCCACGACGACAGAGGAGGTGGCGCCGACCACCACGACCGAGGAGCCCACCACCACCACCGAGGAGCCAACGACCACAGAGGAGGTCATCATCACCACCATGGGCGCCCCCGCCACCACTGCCGAGGAGACGTGCATGCCGCTGTTCATCGAGAACGGTGGGTTTGAGGCCGACGACGCCTCTTCCGCGCCGAACAACTTCCTCCTCTTCGCCTCTGGCTGGAACGTGACTGGCTCTGCGGGCACGTTCCTTGCGCCGCCCACCGCCTTTGACGACACCATGCCCGGGGGCTTCCTCGCCCCGCCCGCAGACGGCAAGCAGGTGCTCTTCATCAAGCCCGGCGCGAGCGTGTGGCAGACGGTGACGTCGTTCACCTTTGTTGGCGGCAACAACTACACGATGCAGTTTGCTGTGCTGTGGCGCCGCGACCGCCCGCTCGTCTTCCCGGAGAGCATCACCGTCACCACCACCTCCAGCGTGCTGAACCAGCCCATCGCCACCGCCGTCATCACCCGGCAGCAGCTCGGCATCGTTGCCGGGCAGCAGGTGGAGGTTGTGCTCACCCTGAGCGTGGCCCGCGACGCGCCGTATATTGGCGAGGGCGTCACCGTCGAGTTTACCGCCGACGGCGTGTCCAACGCGCAGGCCGCCATCGACAACGTGCGCATGTGCGAAACGGAGGCCCCGGCCACCACCATGCCCATGCCCACCACCGCCGAGCCCACGACCACGACGACCACGACGACCACGACCACGACGACCACCACGGAGACGGTCCTGCCAACCACGGAGGAGCCGCCCATGGTGCTGCCCATGCGCAACCCAAGCTTTGAGGTGGACGACCTGAGCGAGAGCAGCAGCTCGTTTGCCTCGTACGTCGCCACGGGCTGGCAGTTCTCGGGCTCTGGCCTTGCGGGCACCTTCCGCCCACGGGCCGGCGCCTTTGTGACCACCAACCCGCTGCCCTTCCCCGCCGACCGCGACCAGGTGCTCTTCATCCGCCCGTTTGTTGCCGTGTCCCAGGTCATCCCGGAGTCGAACATGATTGCGGGCGCCATGTACTCGCTCTCCCTCTCCATTGGCTGGCGCCAGGACACCGCCACCACCTTCCCCTCGGCCATCTCCATCCAGCTGCTGAGTGCCGACCTCGGCGTCGCGCTTGCCGTCGAGCAGTACACGGCGGAGAGCCTCTCCCTCGTCCCGGGCACCTTTGTCAGCACCACGCTCGGCTTTGCTGCCCCGACGGACGCCGTGTACCTTGGCGAGCAGATCCGCGTTGTTGTGCGCGTCAACGGCGAGACGGTGGCCCAGGCCGCCATTGACAACTTTGAGATGGTGGTTGAGCTGCCGCCGCCCACCACGCCCGAGCCGCTCACCACCACGCCCGAGCCAACCACGACGGAGGAGCAGACGACGACGGCCGAGCCCACGACTGAGGCCGCGCCACTGCTCGTCTCCGGCTCCTTTGAGGAGGACAACGTCACCGCCGACAACTTTGTGCTCTCGGCCATTGGCTGGGATGTGTCTGGCCTGTGCGGCGTGTTCCAGCCAACCACCACCCACTACCCCGGCGCCATCACGGGTGTCCTGCCCCCACCGGCCGATGGCCAGCAGGTCCTCTTTGTCCGCGCCGGCGGCCGCGCCGTCCAGGTTGCAGCCGGCGTTGCCTACGAGCCAAACTTCAACTACTCGCTGCACTTTGCCGTTGGCTGGCGCCAGGACTCAAGCATGATTGTGGGCACGACGGTGCGCCTCGCGTACCCCGTGGACGCGACCTCGTATGCCGTGGTTGCCGAGCGTCGCATCACCGCAGAGGACCTGCAGCGCGGCGCGTTTGAGTGGTTCACCCTCAGCTTCATGTCCACCGCTGGCGGCGACCACATTGGCCGCGACGTGGTGGTGATGGTTGTTGCCGACGCGTCTGGTCGCGGCCAGGTCAACTACGACAACTTCATCCTGGAGGCTGTCGAGGGCGAGGCCACAACCACAACTACCACTACGACCACAACCACAACCACGACCACAACCACAACCACGACCACGACCACGACCACGACCACCACCACGACGACGACCACGACGACGTGTGCTTCGAGCTGCAACCCGTCCTTCACGGGCGCGTCTGTGGCGTCCATGGCCGGCGTGTACGAGACGCTTGTGGCGGACGTCAACGCTGACGGCATCAACGACATTGTTGCCACGTCCGACTCTGCTGGTGCGCTTGCTCTGCTTGGCGGTGCAGACGCCACCACCTTCAGCGTCTTTGCCACCTTCCCCGGCGTTGCGGATGCGCGCGCTGTTGTTCGCGGCGACGTGGACGCTGACGGGCGCCAGGACTTTGTTGTCGGCGGCGGCTCCACCATCACGTACGTGCGCAACACGGGCGAAGGGTACACGCCGTACGTGGTGACCTCCTCCGCTGCTGGCGTGCACGAGGCGATCCTGCTCATGGACCTCAACGGCGACAGCCTGCTGGACATTGTGGTGAGCGAGCGCAACGGCGACGCCGTGCGTGTGTTCACGGCGGCGCGCGGCACCACCGATCCGCTCGTGTTTGCCCCATCCACGCTGCTGAACCTGGATGGCGCCTTTGGCCTCGCCGCCGGCGACGTGAACGGTGACAATCTCGAAGACATTGTTGTTGCGGGCCGCGACTCCAACTCCATCGTGTACCTGCAGAACAACGGTGACGGGTCCTTCTCCTCCTTTGTCGTCGCCAACAGCGTCAACACGCCACGTGACGTTGAGCTTGCGGACATTGACAACGATGGCGATCTCGACATCATTGTCGCCGTCTCCGGCGCGGGCTCCGTTGTTGCATACGTCACCTCCGCCAGCGGCAGCGTGTTCACGCCCGTGACGCTGTCCAACACGGTGCCCGATGCGTTTGACCTCACCGTCGGCAACGTGAACGGTGACTGCAACGTGGACATTGTCGTTGCCCAGCGCGACGCCGGTGTTGTGACCATGCTCATGAACGATGGTGGTCTGTCCTTCACTGCCGTGCAGCTCACCGCCAACGCCGCGGGCGTGACGGATGTGACGCTCGCTGATGTGGACAAGGATGGCTCCAACGACATTGTCGTCAGCGCAAACGGCGCTGGGGAGGTGCGCGTGTTCTTCAGCAGCTGTGGTACTGGCACTCTGCCACCCACCACCACGGGCGGCTCGACCACCACCACTACCACCACCACCACAACGACTACCACCACCACCACGACCACCACGACTACCACGACTACCACTTCCACAACCACAACCACAACGACTACCACGACCACCACCACAACCACAACGACCACGACGACGACGACCACGACCACCACCTCAGTCTCGACGACGTTTGTGTGCCCTGCCATTGGGCTGCAGTGCGAGGCGGTTGGTCTTGGCACGGTTGACGGCGAGTGCGACCCCAAGTGGACTGCCCAACGCATCAGCTCCTCGCTTGGTGATGGCGCATACAAGGTGGTCACGGCCGACTTCAACAACGACGGCTTTGCCGATGCCGCCACTGCCTCTGTTACAGATAACGCGGTTGTTGTCTACCTCAACAACAACGGCGCTCAGTCCTTCACCGAGACGGCGCTCACGTACGTGTTCCTGTGTGTGTGTGTGTGTGTGTGTGTGTGTGTGTGTGTGTGTGTGTCTAGCGTGTGCTTTCGTGTGTTTGCGCGTGCTTGTGGTCTAGCGTGTGCTTTCGTGTGTTTGCGCGTTCCAGTGCGTGCTTGTACACCCTTTGGTTGTTATTTTGGGGAGTGTTGTGCGTTTACGTTCTGATTTTCACATGTTACACGTTTTGCGAACTTGTATCAAACCAACCATCTACCTTTCATTCATTCACCAACGCGCCGTCCCCCCCCCCAAACACAACAGGTCGTCGTTCACTGCCCCTCGCGGCCTTGCTGCCGGCGATGTGACGGGCGACGATGTGCCTGATCTTGTTGCCGCCTTCACGGGCAGCGGCGCGCTTGTCCTCTTCACCAACGATGGCTCTGGCGCATTCACAGCCTCCACCATCGCAGATGGTACGCCTGCACGCCGCTTGGCTTTGTGTGTGTTGTGTGTGTTGTGTGTGTTGCGTGTGTATCATGTGTGTTTGTTTGTTTTGTAGTTGGTGAGAGTGGAAACGTGGTGTGTGGTTGTGTTTGTTGGCTCTTGGCGTGTTTGCTGCTGTGTGTCTCTCCCTCGGGCCATGCTGCTTGGAGTGACGGCGTTTGGGTGCTTGAAGCAGGCACCCGCGTCTTGTTGAAGTGCCTTCGTGCTCACACTTGTTGATGTCTTGTGCGTGTGTGTGTGTGTGCACACATGGAAACCGCCTGCCCCATTGCCCTGCTGTCTGCAGACGTGGCTGATGTGAACAACGTGGCGCTTGGTGACTTCAACAACGACGAGAACAACGACATCATCATCACCCGCCGCAACGAGGCCATCGTGGAGGTGTTTGTGTCTGACGGCGCCAACCCACCAGCCTTCACGCGCGTGGTTGTGGACACCAACGCCAACGGCGCCTTTGATGTTGCTGTCGCCGACTTTGACCGCGACGGCGACCTGGATGCCGTTGTGACGGCTCGCGATGACGACCAGGTGGTGGTGTACGCCAACACCATTGTCGATACCCTTCCCACGTTTGTCAAGACCATTGCCGGCACCGCCAGCCAACCGCGCGGCGTCACCGTCGGGGTGCGTTACACTGTGTTGCGTTGCATTTTGGGGAGGAAAGAGAGAGAGTCAGAGGGGAGAGGGGTTTTTTTGGGGGCGCATTTGCGTGTGCCTGTGTTGTATGTGCGTGTGCTCTTGTGTGTGCGTGTGCTCTTGTGTGTGTGTGGTTGTGTGACCTGAAAGCAACATCGTTGAGCTTGGTTGAGACGATGCTCACGTGTGGGCTGCGGTTGTGATGTGCATGTGATGTTTACAGGACTTTGATGGTGATGGTGACATGGACATTGCCACGGCCAACACCGGCGACGCTTCTCTCGGAGTGTGAGTTGTTTTTGGTGGTGGTGTAGCAGGTCGCTCATTCGATGTGTGGTGCGTGGGTCTGACGTTGTTTTTGCCACTGCACCGTTTCGTGACTATCCGATGTCTTGTGCTTGCTTGGTTGCTTGGTTGCTTGGTTGCTTGGTTGCTTCGTCCACGCTTGTTGACACTTTCTTGCTTGGTTTGTGTGTGTGTGTGTGTGTGTGTTTGTGTGTGTGCAGCATCTACAACGACGGCAGTCTGACGTTTGCGTCCTTCAGCTTCTCCACGGGCATCCTTGCCGACGTGTACGAGGTGTATGCCACGGACATTGACCTTGACTGCGACGCGGACATTGTTGTGTCTGTCACCGGCGCCAACGCCGTTGTTCTCTATGACAACTTTGACCCGGCGACACGCGGCGCGTTCCAGTTCAACGCCGTCTCCAGCGGCGCTCCCGACGTCCGCGGAGTAAGTCACGTTGTTGTGCGTGTGTACATTTGTTGTTTGTTTGTGTGTGTGTGTGTGTCTTTGTTTGTGTTTGTATGCATTTGTTGTGTGCGCGCATGTGTGCATTTGTTGTTTGTTTGTGTGCATTTGTGTGCGTGTATGCACTTCGTGTGTGTGTGTGTGTGTGTACACTTGCGTACACTTGTGCGTGTGTGTGTGCATTTGTTTGCTCGTGTGCTGGTCTTGGTGCTTGTGTTCGTCTCTACCGCGGGCGTAGGGTTTCCCCCCTCGCCGCCCTTCATGTCTGGCGCTTCTTTGTTCCGCCCTTTTGTCTCACCTTGCACCATGCACCACGCGCCCCTACTCGCACTGCTTCAACCTCTTCAGATTGCTGTCGCTGACGTTGACAACGATGGCGACTTTGACATTCTCGCTGGTGCGTCTGGCAGCACAGACTTTGTCTACTACAAGAGCGACTGCTGCATGCTCGCTTAAGCCCACAATCCTTTTTTCTCTGTCCCCGTACACAGCGTTGTTTTCTACACTTGTCTAACGAGTGTGTGTGCACACATGTTTGAGTATGCGAGTATGTGTTTGTTTGTTGTGTGATTGGGGTTTGCTTTCTGTTTGTTTGTGCATGAGCGCGTACGTATGTGTGTGTGTGTATGGCCACATGTCTTTGTGCTTTCAAGCGTGGTTGTTGTTTTGTTTGCTCGCTTGCTTGCTTGGTCTCGTGGTAGGGGCGGGTTTGTTCCCTTTCCACCTTGTGCCGTGCGTCGTGCCGTTGTGCATCGTGCATTGTGCATTGCGTACCACGAACCCTGCATGTCACCCCTCTCCCACACACATCCTTGGAAGATGTTCTTCTTTGTGTTTGCTTCTTCGATACCCTCTTGTTGTCCTTGTTGTTGGTGGTGGTGGTGTTGCTTGTTACTGTCGAGTGTTTCCCCCCGTGTCCAGCCATCATCATGTATGTGAACAGCCAACCCAACCAGCCGACCAAGAGCCCTGCATGTGGGGGGAAGTGTGTGTGTGTGTGTGCTGCTTGGTGGATGTGCAACAGCGGCCACCACGGGCTGTCACGTCGCTTCTTGCTTGCTTGCACTGCTGCCGATGCTGTTCTCGCTGCACATGCTTTTACGACAAAGTGTTGCTTGTTGTGCGCGGTCAGCAGAAGGAGTTGGGAAGGAGAGGTGTTTGGCGCTGTGTTTGTGCATGTCTTGTGCGTGTGTGCGTGTTGTTGTTGTTGTTGTTGTGTGTTCCCATCGAATGAACGATCATGGAGCAAAAGCAAGGAAAAGGAAAAGGGTTGAGACTAAGAAGCCTTCTTTCCTAACCTTGTGGAGGCCAACAAGCACAGCACAAGGAGCACACACAGACACACGCACACATGTGCAGACACACACACACGCACACACACACACACACACACACACACACACACACACACACGCACACACACACACACGCACACACACACACACATGTGCACAACGCAAAAAGCACGTGTTTTGCTTGCTTGCTTGCTCCGCCAAAAACAACAGACGATGAATGAAATGAAATCACCGACGCAGGAACAATGCATTCCATCACCATCACCACCGCCACCACCACCATCACTGTTGATGCGCGATCATCATGCACCCATTCATTAGAGGCAAGCTCGCCCACGTTCCTGCCCACGTTCCAACACGCGCTCGCTCGTGTCTCCCACAACCACACAACCACACAACGAACAACAACACACCAGTGCACACCCGGACACAAACGTGCTGGGCTGCATGCAAACAAATCAAGCAAGCCAGCAACGCCACCCCTCACGCCCGTCACGCAAGCAAGCACACAATGCAACGATGGGCTGCTTGTGGTCTTTGCACAGCAACGGCAACGAACAACCACACACGCACACGCGCAAACGCACAAGAACCACCCAAGCCACACTGTTGGCCGTGCATGCATGCAACACAAGGTGCGGTGGCGTTGGTCAGGCTGACACAGCCACGTACCCACAAGGACAAGAGGAAACTACGCCACCGCAGCCGTCATTTTTGACAGCGTTCGCCACGGAAATTTGGCTGTGGTGATTGGTCAGGTATGCGCATTGTGATTGGCTCGCCAGGTGCACTGAATGACCGTTGTTTGCCTGCAAGCACAGCAGCAGCACAAAGTATGCACTGCAGGCATACGCACCAAAAGCAACACTGCAACAGAAACGAATGAAAAAGGAAAAGAAAGGGAAAAAAACGGTCCACCTGACTGACTGGCTGGCAGACTGACGGTTGTGGCACATGCACACACACCTCCCCCCCAAACACAACCGCCAGCCAGCCACGCAGAAAGCAGAAAGCAAGTGCCAGAGCGTGTGTGTGCTGCGTGCTGCGTGCTGCGTGCGAGAACAGAGGGCTGACCAAGACCAACAACGGCTGCTTGTTCGATCAACGTGTCAAGTGGCAGTTTCCACACATCCTCCTCACCCGCACTGGTCCCCTTTGCATCCACCCTTACCTCCATCTGGTGTTGTTCATCAAGCGCAACCACCACCACCACCACCAATAGCCACCACAACACCCTTCTCCATTCACATCAACCCACCAACCAACTTGTTTGCTTGCTTGCCAACAACTACAACACCACGCACTCATCTGCTGTTGGGAGACCACAAGACAACTCTTTTTGCATCCCACCGCACCCACACCCACACCCACAAGATGATGCTGTCAAACAGACAAGCGGCGTTGGCAGCGCTGCTCATGGTGCTCTGCACCTGCATGCCTGCAAGCTTTGCCCAGACCGTTGGTGTGCAGATTGAGACGGCCACCGTGCTGTCCACCTTCCCCGGCTGCCGCAAGCAGGTCGCCAGCAACTCTGGTTACATTGCCATCAACAGCTTTGATGATGGTCTCACCGTCTCAGACTGCGATGCCGCAGGTGGCTGCGACTGCATCAAGTTTGAGTCGTGCAGCAGCGCGGGCTCGTGCCAGCGCCTCTACACCTGTACCTCCTCCGACAACAGCTGCTTCTCCTACAGCGACGAGTGCGCGTACGAGACAGAGCTCAACGCCATTGCCATTGTCGACGTCGACTGCAGCCGTGACCAGGACCTCACCACCTTTGACGCAGCCGAGCTCCTCAACTTTGGCACAAAGTTCCGCCAGAACGTCCTCGCCGACTGCGGCTTCAGCACCGTGTGCGGCGTCGCCGGCAGCGTCTCGGGCGACATCACCGTCGTCGATGCAGACACCTTTGAGGTGGCCGTTACCGAAGACGTAAGTGTGCAAATACATGCATCTTTGCTTCTTTGCCTCGTTGCCGCTTTGCCTTTGTGTGTTCTTGCTTGCTTGCCGTTTGGGCGGCGTGCATAATAGCCGTTCAATGCTCCTGCTTTTTGTGGTTTCGCCTGCACTCGTGCGTGTGTCTTGACTGTGTATCTTGTCTCGTTTCCTGTGCTTGCATGCACGCAAACACACCACCTCCCTTGTTCTTGTTGTTGTGTTCCATTGCTTTTGTGATGCTCATTCCACGCTATTGCAATCCACACCCAGGCCCTGAGCGACCTCAGCACATGCATTGGCGCAAACCAGCTCCGCTTCCACCGCTGTGACGCCATTGCCGTGACCCAGCCAACCTCCACGTCCACGTCGACCTCCACATCGACCTCAACTTCCACCTCTACGTCCACATCGACGTCCACATCTACTTCCACCTCTACGTCTACGTCTACCTCCACCTCCACGTCCACATCCAGCTCCACGTCCACCTCTACCTCGACTTCCACGTCGACGTCCACTTCCACTTCCACCTCCACCTCCACCTCCACTTCCGAGGACCTGTATGGCTACGTCGATGTCGAGCTCACCGCCACCTTCCGCGACACGCCAGTTGTCAACGAGATTGTGCTTGCAGGCAACGACTCTGTCATGCTCGCCTTCACCACGGGCGACGACACCAACGTGCTCCTCTGCCGCGACACGCAGTGCTTCGACGCCAACGTCATGCGCAGCGTTGTCTCTGGTGCCCACATGGTCGACATTGACGCCGACGAGGACGGCAACGGCGTGCTCGTCGCCGCTGTTGGCGGCTCTGTTGTCTACGGCTACCGCCCGCCTTACGACGAGGGCTTCTTCGGCCTCTCCGTCTACAACGTCATTGAGCAGGCCGACAACGTGACCGCCGTTGGTGTTGGCTTCCGCGCCAACGGGCTCCCCGTCATCGCCGCCAGCGTGAGCGGCGGCATTGTGGTCCTCTCCTGCGACGACGTTGTGTGCTGGCGCCACCGCGAGGCGTGGATCGAGCACGACTGGACCAACGCCGCCATCTCCATCGCCGTGGACCCGCTCACCAGCCAGGTTGTCCTCATGTACGCTAACGGCACCCAGCACGACCTCGTTCGCGCCGTTGTTGACGGGCGCTCCGCCTCTTCCGCGGTTGTCTTCGACACCCCCGTCACCAGCGTGGGCCACGCGTTTGACGCCCGCAACGGCATGATCTTCGGCGCCTTCCGCGACGACAGCGACCTCGTTGACCAGCAGAAGGTGTTTGCATGCAACAACGTTTCCTGCGACGTGACGGGCTCTGAGATCTACTTCTCGCAGATCCAGACCCCCGGCTCCGGCCCCCGCTTCGACTACTCCTCCTACTCCCACCTCGGTATGGCCTTCACCCAGGGCGACGACGACGGCGTCTACTTTGTCGCCTGCTCTGCGCTCGGCGTGTGCAACGCCCCCGTGCTCATTGATGGCCCCACGTCCAGCCTCGACTTCAAGTACAACAGCGGTGGCCTGCCCGTCTTCGCATACACCAGCGCCGACGCCGTCGTCAGAATCACCCAGTGCACATTCACACGCTGCAACCTCACTCCTCCCTAAACTTGGGGGGAGTCGACTTTTCCCTCTCGCTCATACCTGAACCACATACACCTCTTCCTCTTCTTTCCTCCCACACCAGCAACTCCAGCAACTCCCCCCCCCACAAACAATCTTCAGCACCACAGCCCTCCCTCCCCCCTTGTATCCATCCATCTATCTCCCTATCCCCCATCCCTTCGACACCATCCCTAGAATGGGGAGGACAAGAGGGGTGGTGCCGCCAGGCAGCATGAGCGCACCTCCCCGGTTCTCTCGTTCTTCCTCGTCCCAGCAGTGAATAACAGCATGCACCATGCAACTGTGTGTGTATGTATCCCTGATGTGAACTGGTTGTTCAGTCCAAACACGTTCCTTCAACAACTTGCCAGCGAGTGTGAGTGCCTTTGTGACGTGTGTTTGCTTGTGTCCATGGTGTTCGCCTGTGCGTTGTTGTTGTTGTTGTGTGTGTGTATGTGTCTCGTGCTGTATGTATGTGCGTTGGTTTCTTTTGCGTGCGTTGTGGTGGATTTTGGAATTGGAATGGTCGATGCATACATACGCCTTGCTTATCCCTCGTCTCAATGTGTTTAAAACAAACAATCATGCCCACTTTCCCTGTGCCGTCTCCATGTGTGCGATGTACATCCCATCACGTCTCGTGTGTGCCTGTCTGTTCCCATTGGTCGACTTTCCGTGTCATCTTGTGTGGTGTGTGGTGTGCTGTTTGTTAGACAGAAATGAACGAAACCCCTGCAACCACACCTGATGCGAAGCAACAATGAGCGTGGGAAGGTGGAGGAGCAGAGGCGCACAGGGAGAAGGAGAGTGAGGGTGCACGAACACACACACACACACACACACACACACACACACACATGGTGTCAAGGGAGAAAGCCTGCCCATGTGAGGGCGTTCTGATTCAGAGCAGCAATGACGTGCTGCTTGTCCATGTCCTTGACGTCTGCAATCAAGTCAATCACGGCAGCCAGCTCATCGTCGACCTTGCTCGCGTCTGCGCGGTCAGATTCAACCAGCAGGCGGTCAAGCGGAACGGCGGCAATGTTCGCACGTGCGCGCCGCTCG